TTTTTGACTGGAAAAAAAAACCCAGAACTAGTGGGTTTCTAGATGAGTTTTTTACCTGTAGAAACACTCTAATGCTGAAAAACACGGTAAAATGCGGTAAATCACAGCAAACCAGCGTTTTTTGGATGTTTATTTAAAAAAAAAAAAAATGTTAAAAAATGCAAACGTGAAAAAACACGGCAAAACACTGCCTGAAAACCACTGAAAAACTCACATTTTTAACGTGACTTTACACAGCTAATGTTACCAGCTTTATTAAAATGCCCTGTGTGCATGGAGCCTAAGCAGGGGTTCCCTGAGCCTAGAAGGTTATTTCAAGGGTTCCATCATGAGTAAAAGATTGAGGACAGCTGGTCTATAGGTTTGTGCATTCCTGCGCAGACTGCATTTGTATACATGAAATAGTATATTGATGGTGCTAGAACCTTAGGTAGATAATGCAATTGTACTTTTGATTCATTTATTAACACTATACTGATGGTATCCCAATGGGGCATCTGGATGATTTGGGGGCTGCTTCTGTAAACCGAGAAACTGCCACAGAAACCTCGGAATGTGAAAGCAATACTTGAATCTGAAAATCGAAGCACCATGTGTGCATGCAGACTGCCCTAGGTAAGGTCCACATGTGATGCTGAGTTTACATGATTAAAAAAACTGAAATTCAGTGAATGAAAGGGATGGACCAGGGACAATAAGGCTAGGGAGAAAATGGTAAGATAGTTAGCCACAAAGCAATACGGGTTCAATCTAATTTGCAGCAGCTTCTAATGCTTACTGTGAGAAGCTTATATAGTACCCTCCTAGTTAGCCACGAGGAGCTAGCTAATTAATATTATTATTATTATTATTATTAATTTTTTTTTGTTTGTAGGCTAAGTAGCAGCCAGGAAAGATAGTCAAAGGGGTAAAATTTGGAACTGGACATCTGGAACTGCTGATCTTAAAGTGTCAGATTCTGGGTCCCCTTGCCCAAGGACTTTCTCAGGCAGATGGGTGAAGAGATTTAATCTGAGGTCTGTCGTGGCACGTCAGCAGAGGCTGGATAGCTCTCCTAAGAAGAGAAAGCCTTCTGAGCATTACTACATAATTGCAGGAAGTTGTCCTCAGTTTTACAGTTTTTTGAGCATCCCATGTATCCCTCCAAAAAAAAAAAAAGCAAAACAAGTTCAAGGACTGTTTATTGTCTCTGGAATACAAGGCTGGAAAGAAATGTGTGTTGCAGGACTATAGGGGGACCCAAAACATTAGCGACTCCTTAGAATGTGCAGTAAAATCAGGGTACGTAATTTCCATAAAAGAGAGAAGTCTCTACAACTGTGGAAGACTGACGATATGGCTGGAAGCCCAGCTTTAAAGTCCAACTCTGGGAAGCCTGAAAATTCTCCCTTGCAGTGGGGCTTTTTCATTCAGTGCATGGTACATTAGAGGACATATAAGGAATATGAAATGTTGGGTTTACAAATTCTTTAAACAATTATGACCGATTTATGGCTCTTTGAGTCCCTACTGTTCTGTTAAACTAACTGATGAACCTAATTGAACTGTGCCAATACTGAATTACTACTTAAAAAAAAAGAAACAAATCAATTTGGCTGTAATCATCTACCAATAACCAGCTACCTAACGATAAGTCAATTTCAAATACTCTCATTTTGTGTTATCACTAATAGCATGTCAGAAGACTTAAGCTGGCCATAGATGAATTGAACTTCATCTTGTTTGGCAGGGACTGGCTGAAATTTTATCCATGTGTGGCTGTTCAGTTTGATAGAAGTCAATCATTAGAATGTTGCAAAATTTGTCTTGATCAGCAGCTGCAGCCACTGATCAGTGTCTTCTGACAGCAGAGAGTCCTACTGTCAGAATACAACATCTCAGCGGGGAGGATTCCTCCAACCACCTTTATTGTGTGGATGGAGGGATCTATTTGGGTTTTTTTTCAATTAACCTGCTGGCTCATCAAAAAAAGAAAAAAACTGGTCATCTATGGCCAGCTTTAAAGTATAAATAAAGGCATTTTTAGCAATTTAGCTTTGGATAGCGTGAAGTAAAATTGGAACACCTGTCAAGTTTTTATTGCTAACTGCGTTAGCGAGATTCATCCTCTCTATTTGTCCTTTTTACTGAGAATGTGAAAGAAAATCCCAAATTTTGGGGTTGTGACCAGAACAGGAATAGTGGGGAAATCTTCCAATAGGGATACTAGTGAAGCTGATAACAACCAGGTATTCCCTCACATTGGAGAGATTTCCTCTCCCTTCCTGTGTTAGCTATGAAAAGAAAGTGAAGGCAAATGTCGCCGAGGTCCAATTGGACACAGATGGCTAAAACACTGACAAGGATTATAAACCTCCCTTACTCTATCACAATGAAAAAAGGTTTTCACTTTAGAAATACTGTAAAGGCTTAGCTCAATGTTATTTTTTTCCACAGCAGCTTCTCTATGTCCCAAAGCACTATTAATGTTCCTCTTTTCCAAAAAGGTGAAAGGAACTCATAAGTGTTACCAGGTCCACTGCAGCCACTAGTTGTTGCCTTCGCAAAAACTTCTCGACAGCATCTAGTCAGGTGTCCTGTGCTAAAGACAGGACATGTAGACAATTGGCCTGTAAGATCTCAACCTCCATTTACCACCAATGTCATTGAGACACTTACCCCAGTGTAATTCTGCCGAATGTTATGGTTTTTTACTGAGTTTTGCTGGGAAATGCCTTAAAATACTTTCTCTCTCAAGAAAAATGCTGCTTTAAGCCCTCACCTTGCAGAGCACTGTGTCAACAGAGATGAGTGACAGTCATATTCCTCAGCACAAGTGTCCCCTGTCAGACGGGGGGGACCCGTCCAATCAGCTCTGGTACAACGTTTACTGGGTCTCATTGAGGTGCCTATTGAGCAGCACAGTCATGTTTAGGCCTCATATGCTTACTGGGGATTTTAAAAAGCCAGTAGTGTCAGCTCTATAAAGTCGTGTTAAAGTGCAAATTTTTCCGCTGTTTTTAGAGTTTTTGCATTAGTGTTTAGCCACGTTTTGAATCAAAAAATGCTCAAAAACGCTGGTTTGCTGTGTTTTACCGTGTAGTGTAGTCTTTCTGGCTGTATATCTATTTCTGTAACTTCAATGGAGCTTTAGGCTAGGTTCACACCTATGCAGGTTGCATTTGAAACATTTCTACATTGTGTTTTGCGTTGCATTTTGCATTTTTGCACCTGCGTTTTGCTTTTTTTTTTCTTGTTGCTAGGCAGATTTAAAGCGCATAAAAAATTCAGCAAAAATGCACTACATGCTTTTCTGCAGCATTTCCATTTAAGTCTATAGAACCAGAAACACAACTTTTTATATAAAAGTCCCTGACGCTTACCAAAAATCGCACCAGGTGAAAGTGTGCAGATATGAACATGTTCCATAGGAAATCATGTTAAATGGACTTTACTGCATTTCTGCAAAATGCAAAACACTACGGAAAATGTTTAGGTGTGAACCTAGGGTTAAACAGAGTCTGTGTTCAGAAATATCATACCAGAAGTGCTGGCCAGCTCAATTTCTCCCCCATCATTACAATAGTGCAGAGCGGCCAATCATTATCAAAGGCAAAAGAGTGTCATTACCTTGACAACTTGTATGTAGTGGGAAAATGTAATCAGGATCCCCTGCTAGGCAACAATAACAGATCCATGACAAATAGTACTGCTCCTCTGTTGTTAGCCAGGGCTATTAATCAACTTCTCCTTCCCATTATTGGAAAGTTCACAATGAAGGAACTATGAGAACCCAGAATGACCCCCCCCCCCCCAAAAAAAAAGAAAAAGAAACAGGATCTACTCAAAACCAACTAACCCCCAAACATCTACACCACTGCTCATCCTGTGTAAAATACCTTTAGGATTAGAATTACAGTAAAATGTCAACATTAAAAATATGACCATAAAAATGGATACACATACTATAAGTTAAATAAAATGAACAAAGCTGAAAATTCAAGAAGAAAAGTTTGTGTGTCAATATAATATTGGTAGACGAAGTCACAGTTACTTAGAGAAAAGAAGGGCCTTTTGGTGGACTTATAGGCACTACAACAGTGGTAAATAAAAGTATTGCTTTATTGAACATACATAGATGTACAACAATACATATAATTAATAAAATCTGCTGCAGAGGATATACTCCCGCAGCATATAGAAATGTATATTCAGTACAGATACAGATAGTATTGGTATATTCCACAATAAAATTGTACCATACCCCGGTAAGAGTTTGAAAACAAATACTCTGGTACTAATAGTTGTAGAAACTGCGATAAGATTGCTTCTTCAGGAGTTATGAACAGATTTCTTAATCTACAGGCATCTGTGCAAAGGCTGTGAAGGAGGGCCTCCAGCCTTCCCATGAGGGGCCAGTCAGTGAGGAGATCCCAACAGACCAGGGAGGCAAGCGGCAAGGTCCCCAAGGTTTCCTCCCCACTGATAGGGATGCGTTAACATCACCAATTCTGCTCTAAATGGAACACAGGTGAAAGAAACTAGCAAAAGACTAGTATGGTGTGGGGGTGCAATCACGTCACCAATTCTACGTATAATAAAACCAAACCACAGGAAAAGTTCTTCGATGTGGTGGCGCAGTATTTGCGCTGGAATAGTCAAGTGGGGTCAGTCATAAATCCATCTGTCCAAGGCACACCAACCACAAAAGATCCCGGAGCCACCAGCTATCAGAAATGCCAACACCACCTAGCCCAACAGGAGCTGTCCCGAAGGAACTCGCATAGCCCCACCATCACAGCCTGTTACCTCTGTGTTTCTAAGTAAACAAAATAATTGCTCAGTAAAGCAGGAGCTACTCTTAAATTATGAAAGATAATTCTGCTGGAACTCTACAACAGGGAACCCCTGAGAATTCAGACGTCAACAATGCAGACTAGTATATTTGAAGTACTAAAAACTGTTTTTTCCTAATGCAGAGTTACAGTAGTAGTAAATGCTCACCTAAAGTGTTACTAAACTCAGGACCCTGCATCCACTATATCTGGTCTCCTGCAGTATATAGAACATGGAAATGAAATTATTTTAGTAAATATAAACTGCTAAATACCTTTTTTCATCAGAAGTTAGAGCAGTCATGTGACTTCTATCACTGTCCAGCTGAGCACTGGTTAAAGCTTGTAGGAGTTTTCTTTCTGCTCTAGGATGCAAAACCCCTGACCTCTGTCTGACCAGTGCTGATTGGCCCTGTGCTGATCACATGCACTCTCCCAAGAAGAAAAAAAAAAACTTCTCTAGCAATACACACCAAACTGAGCATGTGCAAAATGCCTACGGTTCAGTCTGTCTTATCAGGAGATAAGAGGCGGTCGCTTAAAAAAGGGGAGGAATAGAATAAAGGATCAAACAGCCTTTTTACACAATGCAGAGGATTAACCCCTTAGGTTCTACAGTAAGTGTGACAAGCATGCTTTACTGCATATACAGGCTGATTTTACTGTTGTGGGTTTAGTAACACTTAAAAAAAAAAAACAAAAAACATTCTCTCCTTTAGAGCCACATCATTATACATGATTTCATGCTTTTTTAGAAGCATTATCCCCCCCCCCCCCCAAATACTTTTGCCCTTAAATATCCTGTATTACCAGTGTCCTACTTGTGGCACTTTTCTGAACTTCCGGTCACAGATTGCACACTGTTCACATCATTGGCCTTACTGACACAATAGCACAGCACTGGTTTGGGAGAATGCTTGGAGACACTGTGAATCATAGGACTTGGAGCATGAAGTATCAACACTCTCAGCTGTACTCGAAGCCAAGAGGATGCACATTAGGGTGGCTTTAATTCTGCAGAGCCACATAGCCACTCTTAAAGGTGGAAATGCATAGTCAATGCACATTGCATTGGAAAATCTGGTACAAAAAGAAAGCCCTGTACAGAAAAAAAGGCACAGCAAATATGGATGGAATATGTCTCGAAATGTTTTCAGCAATGGGAGTGGGAGTGTAGTTACACTTTAAAGAGATTATTGGGCTGATTTATGAAAGGCAAATAGGCTTCTCACTTTGTAAATGATTTTTTTTGAAAGAAGTGATGTTCTTCTGACTTCCATTATCCAATTATGTGCAAGCAAGAATAATGTTGTTTTTATTTCCAAGGACATGATTGGTTATTCTTTGCATAGAGCATTTTCACCAAATTCACTAAACTAAGGGAAACTTCCCTTGCAATGTGCAAATTTCCTTGCAGAGTGAACAACCTATTTGCCTTTGGTAAATTAACCCCCATGTCTTTACAACGAAAAATAAAAAAGTACATGTAAGTGCAAGCATCTCGTTTTTCTTCTTGGTTTTTCAGCCTTGTTTGTCCTGAGTTTTTTCTTGCATGTGTATTACATTTTATGTTCATAATTTGAAAGTTGACATTTTCATTTGAAAAATACTGCAGATACTGCTGAATGCAGGTGTGGACAATGTATGTGTCTGGACCTCAGACTGGGTTCCATAAAATAATCCAATTCAGAGAGAAATAGAGAACTGCTCTAACACATCACACGTTAATGAGGATGTTAATATTATACATTAAGGTGCCCAAAGCTTCACTTCTTGATCGTACATAAATACATATTACATAAAGATCATTACTAAGTATCAACACCATAGCAATTTAAGCTCATCTATGGGCACACTGAAGCATTAATAGTAATACAGCAAATTGTTCAGTTATGTGCATGATAACCTGATTTTGTAGATTGAATCTCTCAATGTGCTCCAATTCTTTGAATTTTCTGTTGGCTAGCAAAATGCCAAGACTTTCAGTGAGGGAAACCACCCATGTCTGCAATCTGTGTGCCTGATGTCCAATCTCCTCAATGGCCACAGTCTCCTCAATGGCCACTAGTCTCAGTTCAAGCAGTGGTTATGTCCCCAAGTCAGACCTGCTGGGTTCAGGGGGAAAATTCATTCCCCAAATGGCTCTATAACAAACCCTCCTCCTGGTGGCCGCATAGGACGAGCATTACTGATGACATGACTGAAAATTAATTTACAATTTACACAAGGGGCAAGCAAAGTAGATACCAAATACTTATGTGGAGGGACAAATGGAGGCCAGAGGGGGGAGGGATCAAGACTGTAGATGGATGGTATGAAGAGACAGAAGAAGGTCATGGTGGAAGTGAATGAGTCTGGAGATGAGCTTAAAAAAGCATATATATATATATATATATATATATATATAAAATAAAACTATAGGGCAGATCTATATAAAGAAACTGCTAAATACCAAAGACTGATTTGGATCGAAGCAATCTGAAAGGAGTAAAAGACAGCACAATCATAGTCATAAGTCATTTGCTTTTTTCCTTAAAAGCTTGGTCTGATTACAACATGCTTAAAATATGTATAGTTAAGAAATTCTTTAAAGAATGAAATGCAAGTAAATCAGTAAATAAAACAACTATGATGTACTTTACCTCCATCATCAATTTCAAGCCTTTGACATTCTTGGGCCTCTGCAGTCAACTCACAGCCATACAGACCCCCTGTACGATCTGAGAACTGATTTGGTAATGCTGGTGCCTGGGGTGCCCCCACCAAAAGCCTGAAAAACATAAACATATCATATATTTAATTATTAATTTTTTTTTATATCATATATTTAACAAGATATTTTTAAACAAAACCTCTCTGCAGTGTCTAACAGAAGAACCACTCAGAAGTCTAAATATGACCATTTATGTTGTATATCTTTCTGAAACTAGGAAAACTGCTGCTACGCAAAATATCTGATCTAAACCCTCAACCACATAGCCAGAATCATATACTCTACTTTAGGATTGGTGATAATCTTTGGGAGCACGTTGTACTCATGCCTAAATTTACCTGTGCATCCTTATGTATCTTTTATTCCTAATTCAGATCAGCTTTAGGAGCAAATACCTGCTTGGACAATTCTTTTAATACTTTGTAGTTTGACTTTTTTTAACAGGTCATCAGAAAATGGCCGGTGCTCTTTATTGTATATAATATCCTGCAACTTCAGTATATAAAATCTGTACTGTATTTTTTATAAATGCTTTTAATATATACCTACATGATGACATATTATAATTGCTTATATATCATGGAAAAAAAACAAAAACAAAGCATAATTATGATTTAATTAATTTGGAATAATTTCAGCAATGAATGCATACAATAAATAAGTGATTATTTAAATCGTATTTACTACAAAATGCCACCATGTTAATAAGGCTTACATTCAAAGAAATCAGCATTTTAAATCTCTATCCTATGACTGTGTGTTGTATGCTACTGAATTTCAAAGCTGGAATTAGTTTACTGAACAAATGTAAAGAATCCAGACTCTGATTCACAGGGGAGTAAGGGAGACTAGAGCACGTGTGTGTATTCCATGGCAATGGCCTCCAAACTTTGGCCCTTTATTTGCCTTAATCCAGCTCTTGGGACTCTATTCCCCCAATGATATGAGGTACTATTTCCCTGACACCAGTGATGAGGTGCACTTTTTTCCACTGACACCAATGTCAGGACAATATTCTTCCCACTATAACCGCTGATGGGGCACTATTCCTCTCACTGACAAAAGAGATGGAGCACTATTCCTCCCACTGACCCAACAACAGGACACTATTCCTCCCACTGACATAAGTGATGGAGCACTATTCCCTCCCACTGACACCAACAACAGGACACTATTCCTCCCACTGACACCAACAACAGGACATTATTCCTCCCGCTGACACCACTGACAGGACACTATTGCTCATCCTACCACAGGCGTTGTGTAACATTTTTACTCCAACTGACCACCAAGCCCGAGGCATTGTTTGATGTGTTTACTGATGCGGGGGCATTTACTACTACCACTGGCCACAGTCCAGCTCCCCTAAAGTGACACTAAACTGCCAATTTATTTAGAAAGTTTGGAGACCCTTGGTTTAGAGTATGCAGTATATAGAAGAAAATCATGTTATTTCTTTATGCCTGTAACAGCAGTCACACATGCAGCGAGTTCTAACAACTTTCAGTGAACCAAACCAGAATTCTGTGGGCCTCTAACAATGGCATCAAATTGTTGGCAGTTTGAGAGGCTTCCAAATTCTTTGACAGGTGCATTTAACCTGCTGTTGACCTGCTTCAAGAAGGTTTTGCATTTCTGTGAACCTGTATGGGAATGAAAAACCTGTCTGACATGAACAAAAGCCAGTCAAAACAAGCCCTATAAACTCCCTTGGGTTATAATTCCATTCAGAGTAAACAATTTGAGCAACCTTCTTTTGAGTGCAATATATGATTCAAGTTTACCTCCTGAAAAGAGATGATAATTGCAGATAACAGAGTGAAAATGTACATCAAATCTGGACCTTTTATGTGCACATTTGCACTCTTTAATCTTTGGACTGAGAAATTATGTTTCAGTGATTTGCAACCTAATAACAACCTTGTTCAAATTCGTCCCCACTCTATCCAAAATGCATTTTGGCTAAAGCTACACTTTGACTTGATCAACATTCCTTTTAATCCTGATATATAATGTAGCACATATAATCAAGTACTCTCCCACCAAAGCGGTTCTCTTATTTTTGGACAGAGTGAAACATGTTAGAACATCTATAAGGTTTTATTGTTGTCTGTGTTCCTGTTGGAGACATTTCCTCTTACTGATGGGAGACAAAAGATCTTTTTAGTGAATGTAGCTAAAGTGTACATCCGGACATGTTGGAGAAAAATTCCCTCTCTCTATTCAACTTTGGCTTAAAGTGATTGTAAACCCTTACATATGGACAGTGAAGTGACTGGCCTCAGGTGATACACAGAGATGAAACATACCCTCCTGTATCAGTTGTGCCTGTCTTTCTGCAGTCCACTCTTCTCTACATCAGTTGAAAGTGCTGGATTTATAAAGCTTGTCTGAGCTGTTCAAAATGAGGTGGGGTGGAGAGATGAAGTTACACTCTGCAGAGCTCAGTGAGCAGGGCTCTGAATGCTGCTTGGAGGGAAGGGACCCAACCCCCTCCACACATCTCACA